GGCCGTCTTCCTCACCGTAATAGTTTTCACCACAATTCGATGGAGGTGCTGCAAAAGATCGGTATTTTTTTTTTACAGCACAAATAAATACTGCATTGGATTTAATAGTGTTTTCATCGTTTGACATGGTCCGACAAACAACTACGAAAAAGAAAAACCTTGTGTAGACCTATATGTTGCTGTTCGGATGCTGAAAGGTTATAAGACTGTACTGAAGGTTTATGCTCAGTTAATTAAAAATGAAGAAATTATACAATACTCACGATCGTTGTAAACTTGCATGGCGCATATTTTAACACGCTTTCATTATGTTTAAATATTTAAACAAAAAAACTAGAGAATCGATTTAGTTATTCCTATTGATTGATAAAACTAGAAATTAAGTAATCTTGATGGAAAGCAGAAAACAGGAGACAATATAATTTACTTACAAATAGTAAGTTCACACATATCTCCTTGGCGGCCGGATGGACATGCGCAGAACTCATCACCATTACTATCTTTGCCAATACACGAACCACCGTTAGAACACGAACATCCGGATGCAGTTATGTCTGGAAACAGAATAAAAACAATACCAACCGGAGAGAAAATTATTAATGGTATTCGCGTTCATCTGAAATTTGATTTTCGTTTCTGTGCAATAAATATACACCGGTCGCCCTCTATAAAAACTCAACCAAAGCTAAGTTGAACTTTATTGTAACTGAAGTACACAGTCGATCATTTCAAAATGTGTTGCAAACAAACGACAAATGAGACGACGATACATCACACAATAACACCTTACCTCCTTAGTTGCAATTACTTACCTTTACACTTGTAGCTATATTTGAGATCTTGGCATTGGCTTCCAGATGGACATGGGTTACTTTCACAAGCATCTACATCTGCAACAAAAATATGGGGGGAAAAAAGGAGGATCAAGCCAATTATTTCGTTTCAAGCAATAATTCCTTGAAGATGTTAACCAAACTTTTCGGGACTTGAATGCAATAATCATAACCCCAAGCTACAACTTCACTTTCTTTATTTGGCGAAAGCTTTAAATTTCGTTATCATCATTTCATAACGTAAAAACAAAGCATAGGGGCCTATTTATTTAAAAATATCTCATTTTAAACATAGGTTTACATCTACATTGTGATTTCTGTTTACCTGCCATAAAT